CTTTACCTCAATTCTTTGTCCACTGAACTATTATGATGTCAGAAATCTCAGCTTGATTTGTTTTTAAGTGCATAATCCATTAACAGTTTCCATATGCCACAACTGTTCAGTTGGGAAATATTTATAAACCAGTTTATTGGCTCTATCTGGCAAATATGACGCACCTGTTATAAAATGTGATTACTTTAGGAAGCTAACAATTGTGGAATCACATTTTCATAATAAATCAGTCTAACTGAATTAGACTATTCATATACTTTCAGAAAGCCCTTTAATCCCTATTAAGTTAACAGTTTGTGAATAATGAAAGTAATTAATATTAATTTTAGTTGATAAATCCAACACCAATAACCTGTTAGTATACTTTAATCCATTTTCCAACAGCCTGTAAAAATTAACCAACAGATGCTTCCAATCTGGTAAAAAATACACAGGCCATGAGCATCATTTTGATGATACCAAATGTTCAATACATGATGAATATTGTGATTAAATATTGAAGAGATATTACAATGTTCTTTTATAATCTTGTTAACACTTAACAGAAGCCAAAGACCATAAAATATGTCATTCTTTTCTAAAATCAAACCCAGCATGTATCGTTCCTCTCCTCATTGTTATTTTTCAACTAAGAACTTAATTGAGTCTGAGACTTCAAAGGCAACATGAGAACAGGGTACATGTCTGCCTTTCTCATTAGTGGCCCGACACACAATTATACCTAATAGGTATTTGTGGACGGAAAGAATGGTAGCCAAATACAGGAAAGAGAAAAAGTGGGATCAACAACTCAGAGAAAAATGAGAAAAAGTAACAGGTGATGGGGAAAAATGCCTACAGGTTATTTTCAGAAGAATTTAAAATAAACAAACAACTACCAAGCAAAATAGAGACAGACTCATAGGTAGAGAGCAGGCAGCCAGCTGGAGGTTGGGGTGAGGGTATGGAGGGGTGACAAAAAAGAGAGAGAGAGAAAAAGAGAGAACTCAGACACAGAAACAATGTGGTGGTGATGGGGTGGGGGGAGGGGGAAGAAAAAGAGGGCATAGAGGGGATAAATGGTGATGAAAAAAATAAAATATAAAAAGGTAAAATATCTCAAAAATTTAGAACTGAGACACAGAGAAACCAAAATGAGATACTTAAATATCAAAACAAGGTATAAAAAAAAAAAAAAAAGGATTCAACTGAATGAGGAACAAATGTTCATTTCCCAGGAAAAGACCAAGAGAGGGGTTCCTACTTTTAAAGGCATGACACGGGCACTTTCCCACTGAAGCAACGTTGTATGTCACAGGAAGATTAGTTTAGAAAACAAAATAACTAAAAGCAAAGTGATACAATGAAGAGCAAAATGAGTTAAGAGGAAATGCCCAAGCTCTCACCAAGAATATCTTGCAATATCTGTGAGTAGGTGGGGTAGTCTAGAATTCTGGGAGCCAGGCCTGTTTTGCATGACAAAACCCTCAGCAGAGATGTGGTCAAGATTAAACAGTGTAACATGAAAATGACCGGGCTCTGGGGCTGGGACGCCACAGGTGATCTACAGGTATTATTAGTCCTTCCTTTTCCTACTCTCAGGGTATGAGAGTTCTCAAACCTAACCACCTTAACCTAAAAGTCCCAGAAACCTGAAGCAATGCCTTCTGTAAGGAAAAAAGCCACACTACATAACAAAAAATAAGTAATATGTGAGAGAAATTTTCAAGGTTCTCTTTAAATGACTGAAGTCAGTTCTGTTTTTCATGCTACCTATTTGAAATGCTCAGGAAGCACAAAGGATTGGCATCTACCATTTTAAATGCCTGGGAAGGAACATGTGCCTTTGTAATCATAGAAATAGCCCTGGCTTTTGTTGTTTAATCCTTATCCAAGGATATGTTTTTATTGATTTTACTGATTTTTAAAGATAGAAGAAGGGAGAGAAAGGGAGACAGACAGACATCACTGTGAAAGAGAAAGAAACATGAATCGGTTGCTTCCCTTATGCACCCCGACTGGGGATTGAACCTGCAACCTAGGTAATGTGCCCTGACTGGCAATTGAATCTGAAACCTTTTGATGTACGGGACGATGCTCCAAGCAACTAAGCCACCCAACTGGGGCCTTTGTATTCTTCTTTTATTTTTATTTTTATTTTATTTATTTTATTGATTTTAGAGAGAGAGAAAGAAACATCAATCTGCTTACTCCTGTATGCCTCACATTGAGGATGGAGCCCAAAACCCGGGCATGTACCCCGACTGGGAAATCAAACCAATGACCTTTCAGTGCATGAGACGACGCTCAACCAACTGAGCCACAGTGGCCAGGGAGCTGTCTTCTTTTTAAACAAGATAAATTTAAACCTGTTTCTCAAATCCTACCCGCTACCCTCTGGCAACCACCAATCTCTATCCATGAGATTGATTTCTTTGTACTTTTTAGATTCTACATATAAGAGAGATCATATTATTTCATTTAGCATAATGCCCTTGAGGTCCATCCATAGTGTCACAAATGCCCTGCTTCTTGGTCAAAAGGGTTACTGCAAAAGAACCCCAGATATACCAGTTGCTCTAAAAACCTACTGATCATTGGTAATCTGAATCCTTTGTCCTTTCCTGCCAAGTTGTGAAGCAAACCAGTGATGAAAATCAACCAGCAGCCAATGCTTCTCCTTTCCCCTGCGTACTATGGAGTAGAGCAACTGTATTTCTACCTTGCACTGAACAATAAATAAATGACTAGCTTTAAATTTGAATTTTGCAGAAATTACTAAATTGATTCAAACAAAGTAGGCTTTGGAGACATGGGGGACTGGTAAATGGTAACATATGGACCTAATGCCTCAGCACCAGGCCATAAACAAAGACCACAACGAGCTAGCTACCTGCCCACCCCACCAGCCCTTGCATTCCGGACAACTTTCTTCTGTCTTCCTTTCTCATCTTTGCTAGAAAATATCTATACAAAATCTTGCTTTTCTGGAAGCAGCTATAAATAGCCCTATCAAAAAATAATAATAATTAACTACTAGTCATACCTAAATTAAGCACTATCCACTGAGGCCCCTCAAATAATGCTTACTAGGCCCCAAACATAGTCACCTTCACAGCTTGTCCCGTCGGCACTGTAATGTTAGCACTGCCCAGGGTTACAACCCTGGACTTTGCCATCTTTTCTATTCACCATGAAAATGCCACCCACAGTCACAGAAAACAGAAGGTAGCATTTAAAGTGAGAAAACAGAAGTCATAGGCCTCTGCCTGCCTCTTAGTCAAATGAAACAGAGATCCAGGGCACAGGAGAGAGTATATACAAAGACAGAGCAGGATGTGAGTATGGAATGTTCAGAAAATGCTCATCACTTCCTTAACCTTTACAACTGGTGTTAGATTGAGCAAATACATTGGTTTTTTTTTTCCTAACCTTGAATCTCAAGGCTAAAGTTAGATGACAAGAATATTTTAAAGGTCCAATTATTTCATTTAGGGCTAACACTACAGCTAAATTAAAGACAAGCTAACAAGTTTCCCTTTTGAGCCTCATTAATTAAGAAAGTAATCAGAGTAAAGATGGAAAAAAAAGGAGAGTAGGTGGGTGGTAGTATTACTTAAATAGCTTTCAGGTACCTCCATTTGCACCTACTAGGAAAGCAAAGGGAAAAGTAATCAATTCCAGATTATGAAATCTGAAATTCTGAAGTGTTTTACATATAAATACACATTTTAACTGCCATATATTTTCCTTGATTGCCTAAAGAGTACACTAATGTTATTCAAAGAAAACTGTGATTCTCTATAATCAAAAGGTAAATTAAGATCTGCTTACTTCACAAGATTTCCTAGGATAAGCTTGCTGGAAAAATTCCCCATTTTCAAAAACCAAAATATATCATTTTACTATTTTGGTCAAGACTAATGGCACTCAAAAATATGTGCTGAAGACTTTGGATTTACCATGCATGCTAGAAAACTATCTTAATTTACAATTTTTAGTGTATCTAACTTAAAATTCTTTTTTTTTAAGTTTCTAATTTACATTTACATTTTAAAAAGCATTTCAAAGGAATGTAAATGATTTTTTTTGCTATCGGCCAACATCCTTCCATGATCAAGGTAAAACAGAAATAGCATCTGGAATGGTGTCTAGCACACACTAGGTATTTTAAGAAATGAAGCCTTCCCATCTCCATTAGTACAACAGGTCCCCTCCAGCTCTCTCTGTGATGCATGAGCTCGGGCACAGGAGTAGCACAAATCTATGGGCTCCTTTCTGAAAATTAAAGGTAATTACTGATCCAAGATCTAACGTGTTATATAATACTTAAAAATTAACTTAACAGTATGTGTAAGTGGGTACCAGCCCTGAGACAAGTGCTTTTGGCCCATGAAATTAGATGAAATAAATTCAATTTTCAGACAGGAGTGATATCTAAATATAATTATTCTTACAAAAATCACACTGAACAAATAAAAGCTATCACAAAACAATTTGAAAAAACATTCCATTACTTTTAATGAAAAGATCTTATATAACCTACTCATACATTTCCATTTCACACTTTCAAAACATTCTTTAAAATTGATAGTTCCATGTCACGCGATTCATTAATTAAACTATTTGACAGTCACTGTACTATTAAATATTAAAATTTAACTAGAGAAAGGGTCACATTTTGGTTTTGTTTTTACTGTTCTTCACTGACAAAAAGGAATTCTCATGCCAAAAGTCTCTATGAAAATATCCTCCTTTATGAAAATCTAATTTAGAACATCTTCAAAACAGATATTATATAAAAATTTAAGTTTTGTATTAATCATTTGCATTTTAAAATTTGCTCATTTGATACCTAAACAAACTTTTCTTTTTAAAAATGTAATTTATTAAATCATTTATTTACCCATTAATAAAGAAATATGTAACACTCGTAAAATAGTGCTCTCTAGTAGTTAATATACAAAAAGTGGCAATGTTAAAATATTAAAATGAACAAATAACCAAGATGTTAAACTTACCTTTTTGTTGGCAACAAAATGTATTCTCAAGTTTACAAAGCAAATCCACACTTTCATACTTATTTTCATTTGCTTTTATCCAGAAACAGTTTTCAGTCATTTCATGAGGTCTGATCTGCAGTCAGAGAGAAGACGGAATCATAAATAGTGGGGTGTTTCATCTGTCCCAGCCCAGTCATTACGTTCAGACCCAGCGCCCCACAGCTGCCAGCCAATGTTTATGAAGTAATCCCCATATGATTTTTCTCCAAACTGTGTTCAATGAAATATGAGTTCTGCAGGAAGTTAAGCTTTTATTAAGGAAAAAGGAGGGGGGATTGAAGCTGAATAAAATGAAGTTTGTTTCTTCTCAATTACTTCTCAGAGTCTTTACTAATGCTCATGTGTACTATGCCTCTTCAAGTGCAGGATACATTACCCAGCACTTCCTGAGGTTATGTGACCAACTAACACTGACTCCCAGCAAATTTAAACCCAGAAAGCCTTAGTGGAGAACAAAGGACTTTGTCTCAACACTTTAAAAACAAACAAACAAAAACAGGCTATTTATTTAAAATCACTTTTAAACAGGGTTCCTACTGGAAATTATACATACATAAAAATTAAATTTTAATCTAGGTAATAATATGTTTACTTCCATTTATTTATTTATTTATTTATTTACCTTTAACCAGTTCAATCTTCTCATGTTATACATACATAAAAATTAAATTTTAATCTAGGTAATAATATGTTTACTTCCATTTATTTATTTATTTATTTACCTTTAACCAGTTCAATCTTCTCATGTTATACATACATAAAAATTAAATTTTAATCTAGGTAATAATATGTTTACTTCCATTTATTTATTTATTTATTTATTTATTTACTTACTTACTTACTTACTTACCTTTAACCAGTTCAATCTTCTCATGTTGATTTCGGGTTTAAATTCTTTCTTTGGTTTCAACCCAAATGGTAGGATAGGTGGGAGCGAGTTTCCTCCGCTGAGACATCCTAGGGGAGGTGGTGGAGGCACAGGACCACCAAATGGCAGGGGCATGCCAGGAAGCGGAGGAGGTGGAGGAGGTGGAGGAGGTGGAGGAGGTGGAGGCGGGGGCGGCGGGGGCGGAGCCACAGAAGGAGCAAGTGCTGGCTGCCCAGTTCCATTTTCTTTTGACAGGGGCAAAGAGGTACTGATATCAGCTGACAAGGCACCAAACTAGAGAAAGGAAGAAACAAATACATAACAAACATGACTAAGAACACTCTGCAGAACATATAAAGGTACATGTTCCTTAAAAATGATGTATTATCGCCCGCCCAGAGTGGATTAGTGGGTTGAGCATTGTCCTGTGCAATGACCGGTTGCTGGTTCGATTCCCTGTCAGGGTATAAACCTGGGTTGTGGGTTTGATCTTCAGTTGGGGCACATAAGGAAGGCAACTGATCAACGTTCTCTCACATCAATGACTCACTCTCTCTCTCTCTCTCTCTCTCTCTCTCTCTCTCACAGGTCCCTGGGTGAGGATTAAAAATAATGTATTATTTTAAACCAAAAATAAGTAAACATCAGTAATTTCATGTGATTTAACCTAAAAATTCTAGTGAAGTTTATTCCCAGTTAAGAATATAATTACAGCTTTTGTTTTCATAAAAGTGTTATTGAAAGAAACATGATTACCCGTTTTGAGGTAGCCATGACCATCCAGGTACAGATGGCCAAAAGGGAAATGGGTATATGGGTCTGAAGATTTAAAAATCAGCAGTTTCGCCCTGGCCGGTTTGGCTCAGCAGTTAGAGCGTCCGCCTGCGGTCCAGAGAGACTCGGGTTCGGTTCCCGCTAAGGGCATGCACCTTGGTTGCAGTTTGTCCCCGGCCCTGGTTGGTCGTGCGGGTGGCAGCCACTCGATGTGTCCCTTTCACATCGATGTTTCCCTCTCTCTCTCTTCCTCTCTCTCCCTCCCACTCTGTGCAAAAAATGGAAAAATGTCCTCAGATGAGGATTAAAAAATAAAATAAAAAATAAAAAAATAAAATAAAAATCAGCAGTTTCTAGGTGATGGCTGAAGCCATGGAAGTAGAGAAGTTCACCTAGAGGTGTACAGAGTATATACCATGAGGAAAAGCCTATGTACAGAATTATATACAACACTAGCATTTAAATAAGAAAGAAAGAAAAAAAAATCCAGAAAAAGACTTAACTAGTATTGCCACAGCATGCCATTGACCCCTGAGATAAAAAAAGTCTAAAATTCTTAGTAGGACCTCCAAAGACAGGGCCATCATCAGCAGGTCAAGTGACTTTCATATACAAGTCTATGTATTCGCCAACCTCATTTCCATTTCAGGGGCCTGCGCACATTATTGTCTCCACCGGGAACATCCGCTTCACCTGGCCATCTCCTACCTCTCCGTCTCAGCAACCATATCCCTTCCTCAGGAACCACTCACTTCACACTGATAGCACCCTGTTCTTCTCCTTGATTGCTCTTATCAAGTGTTTCATAACTACTGAAGGAATTATTTGCATGTATTTCTTTGATAAGTTCTAACCCCATTAGGGAAGGGACTATGCTTGTCTAACTACTCTTTCCCCAGCACCCAATGTTGTGACTAGCAAAGACAGCTTTGAAGAAATATGTGCAGGATAAATGAATTAAAGACAGGAAGAGAAAAAGGCAAACACAAGGGTCCTGAATCAAAAATGAAAGAGTGTGACCCCCAAAAAGGGTATTCTGCATCAAATGTCAGAGAAGAAAGGTAAATTGAGGAGTGAAAAAAAAGACAAATATGTCCACCGGTCACTTTTGTCCTTAATGTTTCCATGGCATGCCAAGAATTTAATAGATGCATTTTGACCGTTATAAAGAAGATCTGGGTTCATAAATAATTTTATGATATTATTATTTTCCTAATATAACTAACTTTAATCCTGAGCCTATACATACATACAAACTACCTTGCACATTTAATAAATACTAATAAGTCATCTAAAAAGTTGATTTCGATTGGCGACGGAGTGATAGAAGCTACATAGACCATCTCCCAGGACCAAACTGGAATTACAACTGAAAAATAAAAAGTTTTATGGTGTCCGGGACGATTTGGCTTAGTGGTAGAGCGGCATCCCACGGACCAAAAAGTCTCAGGTTCGATACTTCTGTTGAGGTTTGTCCCTGGCCCTGGCTAGGGTTATGCTGGTGGGAGGCAACCAGTCGATGTGTCCCTCTCATGTCCATGTTTCTCTCTCTCCCCCTCCCATTCTATCTGAAGATAAATAGAAAAATATCCCCAAGGTAAGGATTTAAATAAATAAATAAATAAATAAAGTTTTATGGCACAGTTATGAAAAATAGATCATTTATAAAAATGCCTGAAATTCCATCTGAGAACAGCACAAAGAAAAGTTGCATAAAATTTGAAACCACAAATCAAAGAACATGCCTTATCAAAATATGAAATATAAAGAAGAATCACATTAGTGTTATGCTGGGTTATTGTGATCTTAGATAGTACTTCCCTTTGAATGTTAAGAATGCATGTATTTTATACTCACACACAATATACATTTTGTAGTTAACTATTAACATCCTAAAACAAAGACATGGCTGAATTTCTGCTCTAAACTAGTTTATGTGATAGTATGATTGACTTGAATATACTGTTCATGAGGCCAGACACTGTGACTACCTTGGTCAACATTATATCCCCAAGATCTAAAACTGCTCGGTTAAATGACTAAATAAATGAAATAAAAAATAACAGAACAAATTTTATTCCTAACTTTCATAATCTGCATAGCTTTTATCAAAGAGAAGTATCTTAAGGCAAATGCAGAGATTTCATGAGAAACACACTTATTAATCCAAAGAATTTGTCAGTGGTTCAAAAATGAATACGGAAGCCAAACCTTTAAATCCCTAATTCCAGGCCTTCTTCTGATCGCCATAAAAACAGGTCATCATCGTCCACAATTTCATACAACATAGGACTAAATCTCAGTTTCAAAATGTAAAATTATTCTCCTTTCATATAAAAGCACATGTAGCAATAATGTAGCCAAAGATGGCAAAAGTTTTTTATAAACTGGAATTTCCTAGAGTACATTTATAAATAAGTAACCCTTCAAATGGGAGATATTAAAAATACAAGTCTTTAAATTTATATTAGCCCAGACCAGGAAAAACTAGTGATAAATATTTCAGCCATTGTCTATTACTCTATCTAAAATATAAAACACAATCAAATGTTACTTTTAATATGAGAGATGAGGGAGCCACCTGGGAAACACGAGAAAGTTCAATAAACTGTTGTCCCTCCTTTTTGTGCACTAAAGAAGAAAGACAATTGAGAATAATTTATTTGTAGATAGGAGCTTTTAATTTTTTGTTCTTAATCCTCATCTGACGATATGTTTATTGAATTTTAGAGAGGGAGAGAAAGGGAGGAAAAGGGAGAGGGAGGGAGAAAGGGGAGGGAGAAAGGGGAGAGAGAAACATGGACTGAATGAGTCCCAAATGTGCCCCAACTGGGGATCTAGCCCACAGCCCTTCAGTGTAGGGCACAACACTCCTCCACCCAACTGTGCAACCCAGCCAGGGCAGGAGCTATTCATTTTTTTTTTCACTGAACACTAATAGATATCTCTCTTTTAGGATATCCCAAACAGCCTCTGTAAGAAAACTATCCATTAAGTATTCAAAAGAAAACAGAATTGCCAATAATATAGGAAGTAGTATAACAATATACAAAATAGTATATCTGAGACTCTTTCAACATAACCATAAATTAGGATAAAAGAAAAATAGGAAAATGATACTAACAGCTCATCATCCTATGTACAAATCTACATGAAGAATGTTGGCTGTGACTATTCGACCTCCCACCTCCATCCATTTATGATATGTAGATGATATATTTATTGCTATCTAAAATGTTTTATGTGTAGAGGGTGTGTGAGCTATCAGCTTCATAATCCAGATTTGTTCTTTCTCCTTTTTCTGTCATGTTCTAAATCTGTTTACTTTTGGAAATTGAAAAATTATCAGAAAATGTTCTCATTCAGCTAGAGGTTATCTTTCACTGCAAGGTACCCATAAGGTGAAGGTTTGGAAAAATAAATAACTTGAACAATAATTTCCTGTAGTAGGATAAAGATCAATGATGAATGACAAATCTAAGATGAAAAGAATTTCTTATCCTGCATGCTTAATTACTTAGGCAACAGACATTACAAACAAAACCCAAACAAGACATAAGGAAGCAGATTGGTTAGTAAAAGTTTAGACATTCTTAAAAATGCAAGTTGAAAAAAAAAGTGAAAAAATGAGGGTTTTTTTTTTTTTTTGGTAAAAATAAACATAGAGAAGAAATACATATAAATACTATTATGAAAACATACAAATGAAATTAAAGTTTAAACATTTTGATGCTTTGAGGATATGGCATGACCTTTGCTCCCTTGGTAAGCTTTCAATACTCAAATTCACTCTGGGTAGATGGTATTTTACCTGAGATTTAAAAGCTTGTAATTCTGCTTGAAGTTCATTAATCTTTGCCTCCTTTTCCTGCAATTGGGCCTGAGTTTCTTGGTGGTTGGTAAACTCTTTTTCAAACTAAAAAGAAAAGTAATGAGAGAGAGAAATGGAAATGAAAAGCATTATTTATAGAGAAATATAACTCAATCATCTGTCAGTAGAACATAAACTTTTATGAAAGGAATGGTAGATTTTTGCTAAGTCACCCACAGCCTTTCTCGAAGTCCCACCAAATCATTTGTAGCGGAGCAGACAAAGCCAGAGATGGAGTCTGTGACCTCCTCTCTGCAGAGGAAACTGGCCCATAGTTATCTGCAACCCTGGTATTTTTCTTAAAAGTCCAGAAATATCATTGGTACTTTGTGTAAAATAATAGAGAGCAAAGCATTGTACTGAGTTCCCTGACCTCTACATACATACAAAAATGTATACTTGAAATTTACCTCAAGTTTATCAGTATGACTTAAAGAATTCCATTTTAATATTTTTGTTTATTAATAAGTAACTCTATTATATAAATGCATCAGTTACTTAGTTTTACTCTTATACCATCAGGAGATTTAAGGACCATGATGTAAGCTCTAACCTTCAACATTTTAAGAGAATAAAATCTGTCTTATTTATCATTAATCTGTTGGAAATTAATCTTTCCTAAATCCCTATTGGGAGGAAGGTAAACAGTAAAATGTGCTGAATCCAATGAGTTTTTAAATTTATATAGCCACTCATCACAATTTCCCATCTTGCATACCAATAGCTTACTAACATTATAACTGGAAACCTCTCCTAACAGAGGTGAATTTAAATAGGGTGCTGTCTCATAATCAGAAACAACTACTTGACTCTCTTTTAAAAATGGGGAAGGGGGTCAATCAGTTAAAAATAATGCAACTACTTCACATGTAGCCTGAAACTTTAAAATACAGTCAAACCTCAACAAGGAAAAGAACCTCAACAATGACATAGAACTCAACAGTTCACAAAGGGTTGTATGAATCTTATTCTGTCCTTAACACAGGAGCCAGTTACTAGTTGCTCCTCAGACAGCCAGTAAGTAAAAGATGTGAGATTAAAAGCCAGAGTGTGCGTTTGTGAAGTCTGAGTTATTTAGATGAAACTGCACTACCTTCCTATAACCAATGTTTAAATAATGCTTTACACTTTTTAATAGACTTTAGTTTTAAAGTAGTTTTAGGTTCACCACAAAATTAGGCAACAGTTTCAGAGATTCCCCATAAACTCCCTACCCCCACACATATATTGCCTCCCCCATGTTTTACAGTATTTAAAGCACAAAAATAAGCACTTTTGCATTTTATCACAAATACAACTATGAAATAAGAAATAGTATTACAATTCTCATTACAGGTTAAAAAAGAAAATCTCAAACTCATGGTCCTCTTACTCTAAACCTTGTGTCCCTACATAAAGATAACAGAAACTACTAGGAAAAAACATCCAAATATGCTTTACCTCTCCCAAACACCACCACCATTACTTCTCCTCCTCCTCCCCCTACTACTACTACTATAGAAACTCCAAAACACTCCTACTATGAATAGTTTTTAAAAGATATTAATCTTGCCCTGGCCGGTTTGGCTCAGCGGTTGGAGTGTCGGCCTACGGTCCAAAGAGACCCGGGTTCGGTTCCCACTAAGGGCATGTACCCTGGTTGCAGTTTGTCCCCGGCCCTGGTTGGTCATGTGGGTGGCAGCCACTCGATGTGTCCCTTTCACGTCGATGTTTCTCTCTCTCTTCCTCGCTCTCCCTCCCACTCTAGCTGAACAAAAAATGCAAAAATGTCCTCAGATGAGGATAGGAAAAAAAAAAAAAAGATATTAATCTTGCCCTGGCCAGTATGGCTCAATTGGTTAGAGAGCCGCTCTCTGCATGGAAGGGTTGCGGGTTCTATTCCTGCCCTGGGCACCTAGGCAGGTTACAGGTTTGCGTCTCAGGTGAGGTATGTACAGAAGGCAACCAATCACTGTTTCTCTCTCACATCTCTCTCTCTCTCTCATCAATGAAAAACATATTCTTGGGTGGGTTAAAAAAACAGATACTAATCTTAGACCTAACAAAATAACTAATGTACTAACCAAAGCACGCTTAGATGTCGGAGGAAACACAAAGCCTTCCTGTCACCCAGGGATTCCGTGGGAACTGGCTACGTCAACTGCCTTCAGGCCTCCGATGCACTATGAACCGCTCTGCCTTTCTGTCCTATGCCGTACTCCACATCAACTAACTGTAATCTTCTTTTTGCTTCAAAGCCAACTGCTTTAAAGAATGTTCTTATTCCACACTCACTTTTCTGACCTGCTGACCTTCATTCACTTCATCATCCACTACAACTTATCATTCTTTCACTCTAAAAACTGCAGCTTATCAAATCTCAAATTACCCGGACTTCTCTGAGCCTCATCTTGATTTCTCTACAGCTGTGGTAGGGTTTAAAGGTAACTAACTAAAATCAAATAAAGTTCAGTGTTCAGGTCTTCAGTCACATTAACCATTTTATAAGGGCACACCAGGCACACTTGGTTGATAGCTAGCTACCATGTTGAACAATAGAGATGATAAAACCTTATCATCATCCCTACTCCAAAGCATAAACAAACATCTCCCTTCCACTGCATGTTCCATTACAACACACTCTTCTGGTTGTCCTAATTCCGTGACTGCTCCTACCAGTTGTTTATGGGCTCCTAGTTTTCAATCCAAACCTTTAATGTTGCCACTGTATTACATTCCTTCCTCGCCCCTCTGCTGGGCTCACAGCTCATTTCTCATTGGATGCTCTCTTCCACAATCATATGCTTCAATCACCATACTTATATTGATGGCTTCCAAATCGTGGTCACTAGCTCAGATTCTCATCTGAATTCTAGACTGAACATTAGTCCATAAGTATATTTTCAACTGCTTAATGAACATTTTTTCAAGATAAACAAAACAAAAATGTTTTCAAAACCAATGTTATCTTCCTCTTACAGACTTTGTTGTTTTGAATATCGTTATTATTTCTAAAGGACAGCCCAAATGACATGCCTCCTTTGTCCTTAAACCTTCTTTTCTGGCTTCATTATGAAGGCCACATTCATTAACCTAGTATCTAAGAACCCTCTGGAAAATGGCCCCAGAGTACCTCCTCCCCACTATACAGTAAATAGCTAATAGCATGCCTGTGGTGTGTCCCTCAGAGTGGCAGGTGCTAAAGATACAGACTTAAACAGAATATGGTCATTGCTTTTAGCAAGCGTAGTATATGGTAACAAAGTAAAAGCAAACAAGCCAAAACCTATAAAAATTTCCAGCAATAGCCCTGGAAAGTTTGGTTCAGCAGTTGGAGTGTCGGCCTGCATTCCAGAGAGACCTGAGTTTGGTTCCCGCTAAGGGCACGTATCTTGGTTGCAGTTTGTCCCTGGCCCTGGTTGGGTTGTGCGGGTGGCAACCACTCAAAGTGTCCCTTTCACATCGATGTTTCTCTCTCTCTCTCCCTCTCCCTCTCCCTCCCTCCCACTCTATATGAACAAAAAACTGGAAAAGTGTCCTCAGAAGAGGATTAAAAAAAAATTTCCAGCAATAAAGACAGAAAGAGATGGTGAATGATTGCTGGAGGATGTTTGGCCTGAGGTTTGAAGAACTTGAATAGTTAGCTGAGAAGTGCAGCTAGCATTTCAATTAGAGGAACTATCATTAGATGACAATCAATCCCTTATAAGGGGCACAAAAGGAGGTGTGAGAACAAATTGCATGGGATGAAGCTGGAGATGTACAGAGATGGAATCGCTGAAAGGAGTTTTAAAACAAGCCAAAAAGTGTTTCCTTTTTCCTAAACAAAAACAATGGAGAACTATTAAAGTATTTATAATAAGCAAATAACAACCAGGTTTGCAGTTTGGAAACCCAACCAGCAACAAGTATGGAAGATGGACTGAAAGAGAAATACTAGAGGCATGGAAGCGAGTTTAGGGGCTACGGCAGTGACCCCAGTAAGAAATAAAGGCCTGCATGAATGAAGGTAGAAGACAGGATAATGAAAAGAAAATGAAGCAAAATGATTTTACAGAAATCAAATAGGTTAGTGTCCAACTGAATGAAGGAAGTGAGTGTGGTAACATGTATAAGATGACTATGGTGTTCTGTTGCTTTGCAAGCTCAAAACAAAGTATTATAATTTGATAGGAAAGATGAGGACATAAAATGCAAACTGTAAAGACCTCTTTAGGGCAAAGAAAGATAAATTTGGTATAGGAAATGTTAAGATTGAGATACCTATAAAAAAATTCAAATTTTATGCCCGGCTCCTTCTTGGTATCTCATTTTGATGCCTCATACTGATCCGTCAGAGCTCACATTAGCTATCACATCCTGGCCACCCAAGACTGGGTGAGGAGTATTTCCTATAGGCTTACACACCACAAAGGGTTTTCCTACCATAGTGATTATCACACTGTAATATAAACAATATCAAAACGACCCTGGCTGGTTTGGCTCAATGGTTATAGAGTGACCCACAGATTATAGGGTTGCAGATTCAATTCCCAGTCAAGGTCATGTACCTAGGTTATAGGTCTGATTCCTGGCCCCAGTAGGGGTCATGCAGGAGGCAACTAATCGATGCGTCTCTCTCACATCAATGTTTCTTTCTCTCTTTTTCTTTCTCTCTCTCCCTTCCTCCATCCCTCCTTCCCTTCTTCTCTATCTAAAAATCCATGAAAAAATATCCTCGGGTGAGGATTAACAACAACAAAAAAATCAAAACGTAGAAACACACACCTCATCAACCTGGCAGATCATTAATAGTGAAAATCTTTTCTATTTTACTCATCAACTTTCCAAAGCTTTATATTCATAATTAAACTCAATATATCTTTGTTGAATAAACTGTTGAGCCAATTCATGTCCAATCTTCCTTTATATGTTGAATAACTAAGTCACAATCCCCCAGCATCAAAAGCCTTTGAGAAGTCATTTTCTCAGTTCTCCTTCTGATGGCTGCTGAATGTTTACTGCCACATAGCAAGAAATTAAAAAATTAAATTCATGCCCTGGCCAATTTTGCTTGGTGGTTAGAGCATCAGCCTGCGGACCACAGAGTCCCGGGTTCAGTTCCCGCTCAGGGCACATATCTCAGTTGCAGTTTATCCCCGACCCCGGTTGGGGTCGTGTGGGTGGCAACCACTCGATGTGTCTCTCTCTCTCTTACTCCCTCTCTCTCTCCTGCTCTATCTGAAGATGAATGCAAAAATGTCCTCAGGTGAAGATAAAAAAAAACTTAAATTCTTATGAGTGTAAGAATTAAAAAGTCTTTTTCACAACATAAATATGTACACTATTATATTTCATAAGCATTAGGATCAGATTCAAAAGAATCAAGGACTATGTGGGGGAACAAATATAAAACCATCAAAATAACTAGCCATAATTAGTACACACGAAGAGAATTTAATAAATTAACTTGCCCATATTGAAAGTATCTGTATTATTTACCAAGGAGAAAAACATCTCAACTCTAACCTATAAGAGGATCAGATAAAATGTAAACGTTGCTTTAGCATTTTTATATCTACAGTCAAATCACAGTAGCCTTGGAAATAAAATGAATCTCCATTAAAAAATGTACTTTATAAAAACTGATATGATAGCCTTCTTCCCCAAAAAGAGCTACTAGAGCAATACTATGCTTACAATATTACACGCAAAATATGTCAAGAAACACAGTTAAGGTTGAGGCTCTGCTTCACTTCATTCCCTGGGGTAAATGTATTAGTGCATCTGTACAAGAAGGTTGACAACTCAATATCCTCTATGTACTTTCTGACATTTCTGGTCTTCATTTTTCAAATTTATGCACCAAAATAAAGAATGTGTCTAGCAGCTATGATAGCTTCCTGCCTAAAGCCAAGTATTTACATGTGTCCTTATAAAGCTATCAGAAAGAAGTTCTTGCTGATATATACAAAATGGAATGGCAGTAGAAATCTTTTATGGAGCAAACACTATTTTCTGAATATACCTAAGACACATAACTTCTGACTAAAAGGAGACAACTAACCTTGAACAAGGTCTTTCTTTTTTTACATCTAAAGCTTACAATTTTAAAACAATGTATGGAGAATGTTATCACGTTTAACACGACTCATATGAACTATATACCTCAAAATTATTATTAAGTCAAACCTACACTATCTGGGATACATCCAAATCAAGTACTTGAACATTTCCTACTACTTTCCCATGAGGAGTAAAAATTCTCAGCTGAGAATATAAAGTCAGCAGGGTGAGGGGTCCCCCAAGAGTTCAGACATCTATCAACTATTAACACTTATGACACTAAATTTAAATGACCCGTTGTTTACTTATTGTGAATATCATATTTACAGCTGTAACCCTAGCCTATAACCGAAGGCCTGAGATATAATACCCTCTCAGTGTTTGGTGAGTCCTGAGGATATCTTAGGAAATTGATAACGTTTTTCATAAGTTACTGCTAATTTATGAAAAAGTGCCTATCATTTGCAGTTATGTTTTATCTTAAAAGTTTATAAAAATGTACAGTTCTCTCAAAATTCATTTAGGACTAATATAAGAAAAATGTAGCCCTGGCCGGTTTGGCTCAGAGGTTAGAGCATCGGCCTACGGTCCAGAGAGACCCGGGTTCAGTTCCCACTAAGGGCACGTACCTCGGTTGCAGTTTGTCCCCAGCCCTGGTTGGTCATGCTGGTGGCAGCCACCTGATGTGTCCCTTTCACATCGATGTTTCTCTCTCTCTCTCTCTCTCTCTCTCTCTCTTCCTCTCTCTCCCTCCCACTCTATCTGAACAAAAAATGGAAAAATGTCCTCGGGTGAGGATAAAAAAAAAAAAAGAAAAATGTAGATTATTTGGCATGATACCTAACACACAGTAAATGTTCATTTAACCTATGTTTATCAAGATGGTAGTAGTAGTAATTATTATTATTTCTCCGATGTAAGAAGCCAGTCCTATGAATTCAAATCAGAGTTACTAACTAAAATGTGAAGAAAACAATAAAAAACCCCTCCCCACAAAGAGAGAGAGAGAAAGTCTAACAGGTATGTGCTAAGCAGAAATAAAAGTACAAAACACCATCTTAAAGAAAAGTGAGGAATGGGGGCTGGACGGTTAGCGATACTACTAATTGTCAATATCTGATACTTTTGATCTCTGAAAATGATAATTTTATATGGTTCAACCTGATATAAAATGAAGCAACTTTAATCAAAACAACCTTTCTCTTAAAAATTTTAGATATGATTTCAATCATCAATACCTAAATAATACGATTTCTTGAAAAATACACCAATCTTAAAAGTCTGACTCTATACATTTTGTTCATTCCTTCAGTCACAAAAAAAATTTTTTTTTAGTTCTTAGGCCAGAATTGTTCTAGGTGCTGGGATAGTGAATAAAGCAAACAAAAAACTCCTCATAAAATTTACACATTCATATATACACATGTAAATACATTAACAAACTATGTAACATGTAAGCTGATAATTGAAACAAAAGAAAAATAATAAAAGCAGCATAGAGAGGGTCAGCTTTGGGTGTGGAGAGCTAAAATTTGTAAATACAACTGCCTAGAAGCCCTCGTTGGAGGGTGGCACGTGTGCAAACACCTGGAAGAGGCAGAGGAGAAAGAGAAAACAAGCAGCCAGGTCTCTAAGGCACAGGCACACCTGCAGTGGTTCCCCCAACAGTTAGTCAAAGTTACTTACTTTCTTGTGAAATTCTGATGCTTTCTCTTCAGACTCTTCTACTTTTGCTTGATCTATGCAAATATCTAAAATTACAAAAACAGGAAATTTTAAATTGCAGTACTTCTCAAATTCATTATGACTTAAAAAGTTTAGAGAGAAAGAAAAAATCATTGAAAAGATTTAAAACAGTGCCAGTAATAAAATCAGCACAATGGAGAAACATATTACAATGTTGGAATGAAGAAGAATTTTCTAAGCATAAAAACAAAGCCATAAAACATAAAGGAAAAAACAAAACCTACCACAATTTTAAACTTCTATTAGACAAAAGGAGGAGGAAGTTCAACTGTAACATACAACACTCACAGGTTTCTATCATCAGTTCATAAATATTTTGAAGACAGAAGAGGATATCCAGCACAAGATGGGAAAATGGGCCGGAGTAATGAACAGAAATTTAAGAATAATAAAACTAAAAAATGCTAAAACATATGAATATTTGTCCTAATAATACAAATTTTACTGAGAAACAGCAAAGATTAAATGATCAATAATGCCAAACTTGGAGGTGGCTTAGAGAAACCAACTTGCCAATACAATAAAATTATAAATAAGAAATTTCACTAATGAGAAACTACGCAATAGGTACTAAAATTTAAAATATAAATTTTCTTTTACCCAGCAATTCTATTTCTAGAATTTTGTCTTTAAGGAGGAATATTCATTAAAATACTGTTTATGTTAGGCCCTGGCTAGGGCGTTTGGCTAGTGTGGATCAGTTGATTGAGGGTTGTCCCATGTACCAAAAAGTTGCTGGTTTGATTCCTAGTCAGGGCACATGCTCAGGTTGCAGGTTCGATCCACAGTGGGGTGCATATGGGAAGAAACATATCAATGTTTATCTCATACATTGATGTTTCTCTTTCTCTATCTCCCCTTCTCTAAAATCAGCAAAAGATATCCTCAGGTGAACATATAAAAATATAGTTAATGATAGAAAATAATATATTGACTACAAACGTGTGGGTTGATTTCTGGGCTCTCTATTATGTTCCATTGATCTATATGTCTATATGCCAGTACCATGCTGTTTTGATTACTAAGGGTTTGTAGTATAATATGATATCAGGTAGTGTGATTCCTCGACTTTTGTGCTGCTTCCTCAGTATTGCTGAGACTATTTGAGGTCTTTTATGGTTCCACATAAATCTTTGGAATATTTGTTCTAGTTCTGTGAAATACACCATTGGTATATTGTTAAAAATTGCATTGAATCTATAGATTGCTTTGGGTAGTATGGACATATTTTTTAATTGATTTATTGATTTTAGAGAGAGAGGAAGAAAGAGGGAGAGAGAGAGAGAGAAACATCGATGAGAGAGAACATCAACTGGCTGCCTCCTGCATACCCCTCACTGGGAATTTGGCCAACAACCTGGGCATGTGCCCTGACCAGGAACTGAACCAGCAACCTCTTGGTGCATGGATCGACACTCAACCACTAAGCCACACAGGCCGGACTAGCATAGACATTTTAATGATGCTAATTATTCCTATCCATGAGCATGATATATGCTTTCACTTATTTGCATCTTCTCCAGCTTCTTTCGTCAGTGTCATAATTTTCCGAGTACAGGTTTTTTTACATCCTTGGTTAAATTTATTTCTAGAAATTTTAATTTTTTTTAAGCAATTGTTAATGGAATACTATTCTTAGTTTCCCTTTCTAATAGTTCATTATTGGTGTATAAAAATAAAACTGCCCTGGCTGGTGTGGTTCAGTTGGTTGGGCATCGTCCAGTGCACCAAGAGCTTGTCAGTTCAATTCCAGTCAAGGCACAAGTCCAGGTTATGGGCTCAATCCCCAGTAAAGGGCATGCAGGAGAAAGCCAATCAATGTTACGCTCTCACATTGATGTTTCTCTCTCTCTCCCTCTACCTTCCTCTCTCTCAAATAAATAAATAAATAAATAAAGCAAGCAACTGATTTCTGGAGATTTTGTATCTTGCCACTTTACTAAATTCCTTTATGAGTTTTAACAGTTTTGGGGTTTTTTTGGTGAAATCTTTAGGGTTCTCTCTACACAGTAGCATGTCATCTGAAAATAATGACAGAATATTAAATTCAAAACCATAAAATTCCTAGAAGAAAACAAAACATAGGGAGTAAAATCTCAGACACTTCTTGTAACAATATTTTTCTGAAATATTGCCGTGAGCAAAGGAAACAAAAGAAAAAATGAACAAATGAGAGAATACATCAAACTAAAAAGATGTTGCACAGCAAAGAAACCATGAACAAAATGAAAAGACAACTCATTGAATGGGAGAACATATTCACCAATACTACATCTGATAAAGGCTTAATATCCAAAATTTATGAGGAGCTTATAAAACTCAACACCAAAAAAACAAACAATCCACTTACGAAATGGGCAAAGGACCTGAACAGACACTTCTCCAAAGAGGACATACAGATGGCCAATATACATATGAAAAAATGTTCAACATCACTAATCATTAGCGACACACAAATTGAAACCATAATGAGATATCACCTCACATCTGTCAGAATGGCTATCATCAATAAATTAACAAACAAGTGTTGGGAAGGATGTGGGAACCTTCGTTCTCTGTTGGTGAGGATGCAGATTGGTGCCGCCACTGTGGAAAATAATATGGAGTTTCCTCAAAAAATTAAAAATGGAACTATCTTATGACCCAGTAAGTCCACTTCTGGGACTATATCCAGAGAAACCCAAAACACTAATTCAAAAGAATATATGCACCGTTCATTGCAACGCTATTTACAATAGCCAAAATTTGGAAGCAGCCTAAATGCCCATTAGCGGATGAGTGGATAAAAAAATCTGTGCTACATTAAACAATGGAATACTACTCAGCCATAAAAATGAAGAAAATCTTACCCTTTGCAACAGTATGGTTGGACCTGGAGAGTATTATGCTAAGTGAAAAAATAAGCCAGTCAGACAAAAATAAGTACCATATGATTTCACTTACACGTGGAATCTTATGAACAAAATAAACTAACAAACAAAGTAGAGACAGACTCATGTACACAAAGAACAGAATGATAGCTGGTAAGGGTGAGGGACCTGGGTGAGAAGGGTGAAGAGATTAAACAAAGAAAAAAAGATTCATGGACACAGACTACAGTATGGTGATTGCCAGAGGGTAGAGGGTTGCGGGGAGGTAGAAGCAAGTAAAGAGGGGATAAATGATGAAGGAAGGAGACTTTACTGGGGTGGTGAACACACAATACAATATACAGATGATATATTATAGACTGTATTACCTGAAACCTATATAATTTTATTAACAAATGTCACCCCAATAAATTGTTTTTAAAAAAAGATAAAAGAACAACAACAACAATAAAAAAAGGACAGTTTGGTGCCATTGTCTTGAGTCATAACAAAGTGCTAGCAGTTTTACCCACCATTGGTTTGTATCAGGGCAAATATCAACACAGTAAAGAAGACAAAGAATGTCTTGATATTATTATGAAAATAGTTTAACTATGAGAATCCCCGGAAAGGGTACCAAGGACCTCAGAAGTCTACAGGCCCCACTATGAGAACAAATACTCTAGAACTAATCCAGGGTGTAAGAGACAGTAAGATATTTCTATTTAAATAATAGAGGAATACTCACCAACAAATTGACTCAAATCTAAATCTAGTCTTTTTCGATATGTGAAGTCTGGATCCATCCCATCTCTATGTAACACAATCTGAGATACACACTCATCGATTAATTTGAAGTACTGTTGCCTAAACCAAGGAAAAGATTAAGTGAACAATGAATTTATGAGTGTAAGTTTACATCAAAACAAAATATTTTGGTAAGCTTGATTTCAAGGTCAATCATTTACTTTGCATAGTTCAACAGCATAACAGATTTGACGTGGGAGCGGCAGTGAATACAGTTACTTTATCACTTTCCTCCTAATGATTTTAAGACATTGCATTTTTATAATCTTTTAGCAAATATAGTGTGCCTGAAAGAAGATTTTCTTACCAAAGTCAGAACCCTGACTTAATTATCAGGCAGTAAAAGAGAGAATATTAAGATAAAGTGAGATATGTGCTCAAAAGTACTCCTCATGAAGATCATCAACCAATCACTGTACCAAACTGAAGGAGCAACCATTATTTCATTTTATTAGTGAATTAATAATATTAATTCATTTTTCTAAAATATTCTCTGGAAGGTTCTTCAAACCACACAGTATACTGTTTTTAGAATGTATGTGGAAATGAATTAAAAACTGACATTGTAAATATGTACAATATCAAACAAATCTCTTACTCAAAAGAAAGCTAGAAAAATGTAGCGTAATAATTTTTGTCTAGAAATTAAAGTTTAACTAAAATGCCCAAAAGGGTTCATGTTGTCATTACAGTTCAGTGCAACTTACATGTGTAATAAGCTAAAGAACATCCCTTAAAACTCAAGCCAACACATGTGAAAGAAACAGCTAGAACATTTTATAAACAAAACCAAACTGAAGTAATAGACAGCATGGGCACTATTCTAACGAGGTACATCCTCCATCACCAGCTGCCCACCACCCCACAACTTATTTCTTCCCTCATGACATTTTGCACACTTTTCCTCTGCACACCTTCTTTACCAGGTATACGATGGCCTCTCTAGCCACTTGGGCTTCCCTTCCCTATGAACCATGAATTACTGCCCTTAACCTACTTACCCTACACCTAATAAATCCCACTCGTTAGATGCAATAAAACTTACTACAGCTTAACATTAGCAAAAAGACTAATGTTCATTAATTGTGAGAGTAAAAATATTCAAAACACTTTCTGGGTATAAACCAAATCATAAAGTTGTTATCAACTTCTTTCAAAAAATAACTTCCCATTCTCTAATATTTTAGCCATAATCACATTTACACTTAAGGTAAATATATTGCACACACATTTATATCTATCACATTTGAAGATTTAGATAATGTGGTCCATTCCTTTATACTCATTGAATGCTACCCTAATGCTGTTTTAATAATAAAAATATTTTAAATTACCACAAGCTACTTATGTCATTGAAATAAAAATCATTTGTTAACTATTTTCCCTCCTCCATACTCCAATAATGAGCTCATTTATAACGAAGCTAAAATGTTGTGCAAACATCTTTCAGCAAGGCAATATTAGCAAAGAATAATGTAAATGTGATTTCCAGAAATGTAAATTGAGAAAATAATCTTAGTGATATCAGTAAATTAATGAATATGTCAGAGGAAATTGGGAATACATTTAATTAAGAGATGAACACAAATTGTCATTATTTACTGATAAAAAGCCGTATCAGAGGATATTTTAAAGTCATATTCACTTTCTCTGTAATACTTATACAGGATATCAGAAATTATCTCCTATGCACATTCAACTAACATAGAATTCTGCACAGGGTAAGCCAATAATTATTTGTTACAGAACTGAATTTGATCTTCTACGCCACCTTCCAGTTTTCTTACTGCATTTGATTTTTCTTAGTTGGCAGGGGCTGCCTGGATATACATTTTTCAGTCAAATTCCATTGCAGCAATTTTCCTTATGTTCCACATGTGAAAGGGAACAAATATTCTCATTTCCTTATTCACTAATTATTTTAAATGAGATTATTTCGCATTCTGAAATCTATTTATTCCACACCTAATCTCTTTATTAAAATAACGAAACGAGGCTGGCCAATGTGGCTCAGTGGATTGAGTGCCATCCCATGGACTGAGAGGTCCTGGTTTGATTTCCGATCAGAGCACATGCCCAGGCTATGGGCTCAATCCCCAGTAGGGAGCATGCAGGAGGCAGCTGATAGATGTTTCTCACATCGCTGTTTCTCTCTCTCTCTCTCTCTCTCTCTCTCTCTCTCCTCCTCTCTCTCTAAAAAAATCAATAAAAACATACTTTTTTAAAAAATACAAAATGAATTATGTTTATTCATATCAATAATAGTTTAAAATGTTCACACTAAATAAAATATATTCAGATAATGGAAGATGTCTGAAAGATAAAATCCAGGTCCATTTGCTATAGTAATACCAAAAAGAAGGTAACAAGATTCCTAGAATTGTATACCAAAAAGAAGAAATTTTACTGTAATTAAATAAAACATGAACATATGACAAAATTTATGAAAACAGACATAATTCTGACTTAATATTATTATAAACTTATAACCTCTTTATAAGAACAAAAACAGCACAAGTAATGAGAATTTTGGATCATGGGAAAAACAGATGAAACTGTCTGGATGACACCAGTCATAGGAAGAACACTGCCTTCACAGGAAACGTAATCCCAACAAGGACCGAGGACCTGAGGCTTAGGAAGCCAACAAGAAAGCAACAAATTAAATTTCAGAGGGAAGTGGGATGGGGGGGTGGGGGGATGGGAAGAAATAAACCAAAGAACTTATAGGCACATATGCATAACCAATGGACATAAACAACAGTGCAATGAAGGCATGTGGGAAAAGGGGGCAGCATAGGAGCGAGGAGGAGGAGGGGGTCAGTGGGAGGGGAAGGGGATATCCGTAATATTTTCAACAATAAAGACGCTTTTTTTTTTAATTCCTCACTCGAGGATATTTTTCCACTTATTATCAGATAGAATGGGAGGGAGGGAGAGACAGACAGAGAAAAACATCGATGTGATAGAGCCACATGTATTGGTTGCCTCCTGCAGTACCTACCAGAGCCAGCAACAAACCACAACCAAGGTACGTGCCCTTGACCAGAATCGAACCCACGACTCATTGGTCTGTGGGCCAACACTCCCATACCTGAACCAAACCAGCCAGGGCAAGTTCCTTTTTTTTTTTTTATTTAATAAATAAAAGTAAAGCCATAAAAAAGAAAAAGAAGTGATACTCAGAAAATGACCAAAATAATCAAACATCAGTGTTGTTTCTGAAAGCAAACATCAGTGTTGAATTATTAAAAACTCAAAGGGCTTTTAAACAACTAGAGGTTGACAGAACCAAACATACAGGGATCAAGTAAAGGATGGGTTTACTGTAGAGAAAGTAGAAGTTTCAATTTCACTTTTAAGTAAATTTGGAATAAAAATATAATATCCTAATTAGCAGGGAACAGTCGGCCCTCATTTATCACAGTTAATCAGTTCCAGACTCTACCGTGATAAATGCATTTCCACAAAGTAGGATTCTTTATTTATGTGCAGACGTCCCTCGTCACTTCGCACTTCGAAAGCGAAAGCACGAAGTGGTGAGGGATGACTGTACCTATATTTTAAAATCTTATGTCATTAAAGTATTAGTATTGTGGTTAAATATTTAAACTGTTTTATTTTTAATAAAATGTTAGAAGAAAATGAAGCATTAAAACAGGTGACTAAACTCTTATTTTACAATACCAATGGGATTCCTCAATTCTGCAAACGAAGGGGGTATGATGGATAATCTGTACTCATCCCAAAGAAGCTAAGGCTTTAATGTTTTGACTCATTCTGTCCTCTTGTTAGGTACATCAAAAGGCCTAAAGTATACCCCTGACATCACCTAGAGGACAGGGCCTGAATAAGACATGTCTAGCAAATCTTTCTTGTTGAAATTAGAATAAGAAAAGACTTACTACCCACAGTATTTGAGAATTCAATTTTAGCAAAGCTAAATTGGTGGCAACATAAATGGTTTTATATTCAAAGATTTCAGCTTCCCTCATAACATAGTAATAAAAGCAAAAAGAGGATACTGAGAACATTTATTAAGCATACACCATGTGCCAGGTATTTGGCTAGAAATTTTACCCATGTTACTGTATTTCATTTCCACAGCAACCCAGGCATGTTAGGTGCTAGTATCCATATGTAAGTTACACAGAGGTAAGGTACAGGCAGGATAAACAACTTGTTAATAAGGTCAAAATGGTTAGGACATAAATGACTTGAAAGTAATTTGTCTTACTTTTCTGATACATTAGCAACATTAAACACACCTATATTATTAAGGCATTTTTATCCACTTAATAAAAGCAATGTTTAAGTTTTCTTCATGTAACTTATAAAGGTGAAACTCATCCTCATTCCTGCTGGCTCAGGACTAACCAGAAAAGATTACCCATGGCATGATAAACTAGTAGTCTGTTGCTAGTTCGCATTTTTATTCAGATGAAAAGTTGTAAACAAGAATCCACTGGAGCTTAAAAAAATAATAGTAATACCATTTTACCATCATCTATCTAAATACATGCCCAGAGGAACACATTCTATGAATTGGTATTATGAAAAAAATCTTAAAATTATTTGCTTGCCCGTATCAAACATCAGGTGACTTTCACAATTAATAGAATTTTATCAGTGAAATAAAACACTAGAATATAGCTTCCTCTTACCTTATAAAGGAGTCATTGCGAATCAGTAAAAGATGCTGAAGAATAGAAATAAAATATTTCTCTGCTCTTGTTTCCTTCACTGTGCTCCACACCATGTTGTAAACATCATACGCTTCAGTAAATTGATTAAGGAATATGTGGATTTATTTATCCTCTCCACTGAACTGAAATAATATGACACAGAATCTGCTCTGTAAGACTTCTAAAGATTATTGTGTGCCTTACCCTAAAATATGCATCATGCATACTCAACATAAGATCAAACACAGGTAGTTAGAACTGAGAGGAGAGGGAATTGTGTGCAATGACGACCTGACACTTCCTGGTTTTTCCTCTACAATTAACCCCAACCACCTCCCTCATCAGAGCCAAGAGGCTGCTGGCAGCCAGTGCTGTGGGCAGCTGGCTGTGATTACTCTACTGGGTTCTGGGGGTGCCCTGACCCAGAGAGTATTACCTACAAGGGAGAAGCCCCAGCGGAGGACAGGAAACTGGCGGATCTCTGAGAAGACACAGACATGTGCAGACCCACAGAGTTAACAAAGGCCCATATGAGTATGTACCCAGGATGTAGGGCAGGAGCTAATCAGTAGGCTATGGTCCCCTAATTTGTACTGCAGGAAACATCTGCGAGAGGGCAGGTGTCAAACATAAAAAGAAAAACAGAGATTACACACATACATAGATGAAACTAGTCTAACAGAATTCATTTATACGTTGTAACATCCATTTACTTATGCATGTATTCATAAAAATCACACATTAATTAACTAAAAAATATGAAAGTTTATACAATTATCCTTCTCCTTCATAAAGTTTGATGTTATATTGTTTATTTAGAAGTTTAATATTTTATGGGATAGAGGTTAGTTGGTTGGGATTTAGCAGTAATTGTACATATTTGTCTAGACTTCAGAACAAAAGGATATTCAAGTTCAGCTCTAATATCTTCCAGGCGATGGGAGAACTCAATCAAGTCTTCTTCCTTATGCTCATCAAAAACTTTAAGTTGGATATCCAAGCCATCATTCTTAATGCATTTCAAATTCTAGAGATACCAAGTAGAAATTAGGATGAACTTATTTCCCATAATGCAAAAAAGTTAAATGAAAACATAAACCAACCACTCAACTTGATTTATAGCATTCAAACATTTAAAGTGTTAAATATTCAAAAATCGTATCAAGTTTTAAAAAATAAATTTTAATATTCAAGCCTTTCTTCCCACAGACAAATTATTCCTGAAGGTAATTTATCTACATTTCCCCCTACTCAAGTACTCCTCTAATTTAAATATTAATAAGGAGACTTTAGGGCACTTACTGGCAATATCTCTTTCAACCCACAACGCATAAATTCATTTCTGATGTGAAGCCTGAAGTCCAAATCATCGGGAGATGTAACAAGGGCATTGATGAGCTGCATACATGCCACCTACAACAGATTACACAGCCAGAGTTAGACTTGGATTCCAACATTAAGAGAGAAAAAGTGTAATAGAACTAAAACATCAAGGTTTTGTTCCAAGCATTATCAAATATGTTCCTTCATGGGACAGTCTAGTAAAACAAAAATTCTTACGTAAAATATTTTAGTCAACAACAAATTATATAAGAATTATAGTTTCAGTGGAGTTTTTGATTTGTCAAGTAGTCAGAGGTTCTTGTGGGAGAGGAGAGATGGAGAAACATCAGGCATTGGCACTGTTCCATAAAAACTTGACTCTAACCAAGTTAAGAGCTTGTCCAAAATGTCATTTCATACATATACAACACAAACTGAACACATTCTAGCTATAAATTTCAAATAGATAACTAACATGTAAAATAGGATAGTAAAATAACTTTTTTTTCATCAAGAGAAATTCAAAGACCCAAAGACTTCAAAGTCATCAAGTGCTCCAAATGTCATTAATAGGGTTGATATAGGCAAAAAATATATTATGAACACTACGTAATTACTAAAAGTTTATTTACCAGGCAATGGTTCTTAACCTTTGGTAAAAATTCAAAACTACTGTATGCTACGACAAATGCATAAAGAAATAATATAGCTAACTATACTATTTAGTATATACTTAAATGATAAATATTAAAATTCACTGTAGTTTTTTCAGTTCTGGTTTAATACTCCAACTTTCAACCTCTCCATTTTTTTTTTAATCCTGGCCTAAAATATATCACTTACCATCTAAAATCCATATAATGGAAACAAGTGAGACAGATGGTCCCTAGAGAACCAAAAGTGTGCTTTGCTGCTGCTGTTATTTTTACAAGTCTACATTCTACCCAAGTCTAGCAAGAATGACAGGCCTACTGATCAAAGTTTAGCCTCATGCTGTTCCCTAAATTGTTCTTTCTCCATCCCTGAAGGCCAGGTTTATATGAATTTAAAATGTCATTTTTAGATTGAGACACCAATAGGGGTCTCACTCCCTGCTGGTTGAAATATCTAGTAATTGTTGTATTTTAAATCTAAATGTTAAAATCTGACCAGCATCCCAATACTGTCAAGCTTCTACTGTCAAAACTTAAGACTGTTAAAAGTGGGGGTGAGAAATGTGCCAGAAGAGAGTAGAAAGAAAAACATACTAAAAAAATTTTTAAAGAGTCAGTCTTTCCAGTATACATTCTCTGAACTGTAACCAGTTCATGTCAAAAGGTCAAGTTTCAAATGCTTTCTTTCCACTTCCATGCCAGCCATTACCTGGTACCACAAATGTTTTTCTCACCAATACTATATAATTTTAAAAGATCTCAAAGAGCATATAAATAATGTTTCAGTACATTCAGAGAAATTAAATCAGTCTTAGTCACCAGATTTCTGGAAAAGATGTAAATTAGAGAACATTCAACAAAGCCACAAAAATAAGTAACAAAAACTAGCAGCAAATATCACCTGAATGGAAAGTGGATATATGTAGAGAATTAACAGCAAGAAACTGAAGAGAAAAAAGAGAGAAGGAGCCCAGCCAGTGTGGCTCAGTGGTTGAGTGTCAACCCATACACCAAACCAAGAGGTCACTGGTTCATTTCCCAGTCAGGGCACATGCCCAGGTTGTGGGCCCGATCCCCAGTGGGGGGCATGCAGGATGCGGCCAATAGATGTTCTTTCTCATCCATGTTTCCATCTCTCTCTCCCTCTCCTTTCTTCTCTCTCTAAAATCAACAATGAAAAAAATGAAAAGGATAATACAACGTACGTCCAGGAAGCATTCTAAAAAGCAAGTCACCATAAAAGGAAACATAGGAAATTGATTTAAGTTTAAATGATCAATTTAGTTCTCTAAGAGTCCCTTCCCAATTCTAATAATAATTTGCCATCATGACCTATAATCACTCTTTGATTAATTTATATTTATATTAACTATGCAAACATGTCTATAAATATATACACATATATAGCAAAATATATTATTGCCTTACAGATAAAATATTCTATAATCAAGCTAAAGACCAAGGAGTTCATCCTACTTTTTTAACACGTATTGTTGTATCATATAATTTCATACTAATACAGCATACCAGCAGAACTTGGTGTCAAATCAATTCCAAGAGACACTAAAAAAGTACTGTGAACTAGTAAAGTGAACAAGCCATGTTGCCTGCCCAAATGAAGGTAAATAGTTACTGTGATTGAAAACATACTATATGATATGTCCAGTATATAATGGAAATATGTAAAATATATATAAATAAAAACAAGGACAGCTTAGTAACGGTACAGACTCGTAAGGATTAATAAGAAGACAGCCCGATGAAGAGGAGGACCAAGATGTTGCAAGCAGAGGAATTAACATTTTCAATGGCATGGGTTCTTTTGATGAATTACAAGAAAGTCAGATTTCCGAGGTAGTTTGTAGGGTGGGAAGGAGGAGAGCAGGGAAGAAGTCAGTGGGAATGAGGCTGGACAAAGAAACAGGACAGACGAGGCACCGCCTTGTGTGCCAAGTCAGAAAATTCGGATGCGACTAGGAATAGTGAAAATCATAAAGGATTTTATGCAAAGGAGAATCAGTAGTAGAGGCAATAGCTACAAGTTAAGAAGCTATTGTAGAAGTAACTCTGATGAGCAACAAGGGAGGGCTGGAACATTTGAAGTATAAAGAAGGAAAACAAAACCAGAGTGATTGACGAGGGGTTGAGGAAGAGGAAAATAATTCACAAGAGGCCTGATGCCTAAGTTATTCAAGTAAATAGGAGGTGGTACCATTAACAGAGATATAAAATCCAGGGAAAGAAACTAGTTTTAGAGAAAAACAGAAATAAATCCCAGTTTTTAAATTGTGAGATTGAAATGTACATTAGGAATCGTTCACTCATTAACAAAAATTAGTTCTTGGGTGCCTACCCTGTGTCACCTGAGGATATTAACAGAAATGCAAGAAAATAAGTGAGATGTTCATCAAAAAAAATTAATCACCATGCTCTGTTTGATGTTCCACAAATGTAGCGTATGATCTCCATTAATTTGCATTCTGCCATACTAACTGCTTCAAGAGCTGTTCTAGAACTGAGGAGAGTAAGAAAACAAGGAGCTTCTGCCCTCAAGATTAACTAAAGATTCTATCATTGGACATCAGACTATGGTTCACTTTCTGTTACATTATGTCATGCATTGCATTCCTTCAAAGCCTCTTTATTGGTACCTACTATGTACCAGACACTGCTCTTTGTGCCAGGAATACAGCTATTAAAAAAAGATAGAAATCACTATGAGAGAGGAGTCAAGATTTGAATCCAAGTTTTTGGACCTAGGCAAGTCAAAGAATGAAAGTGTCATTTATTAAGATAGGAAAGACCACGGGAGAAATGGGCTTGGGAAGAAAGATCAGGAGTTCATTTCTGAAGATGTACAATTGGAAGTACCTGTTAGTGATCTTTGCTGAAAAGAGTAGAGACGAGTGGATATAGGAGGATTCCAATTCAAGAGAGAGATTATCGCCCAGCTGGTGTGGCTCAGTGGTTGACCGTTGACCCATGCACCAAGAGGCTGAAAGTTCGATTCCCAATCAGGGCACATGTCCAGGTTATGGGCCAAATCCCCAGTGGGGGGCATGCAGGAGGCAACCAATCCATGTTCTTTCTTATCGATGTTTCCATCTCTCTCTCCCTCTCCCTTCCTCTCTCTCTAAAATCATTAAAAGGAAAAAAAATTTTTTTTAATAAAGAGATTACCATAGCAAAATATGTAAACACCGAGATCTCAGATGGATCATCTAGGGCCGAGTAGAGAGAGGAAAAAGGACACAGAGGAATGGATAGGGGCATTTCAATTGTAGGTTTCAATTTGCAGCTTGAGGAAATAAAGTAAAAAGCCAGCAGTGAAGTAGAAGAAAGGCAGACTCTCCACATAATTGGCATTCTGAAAGTATGGGATGCACATGTCTCAACAGGGAGAGTGATCAACCGAGTCAAATGCTCTAATCGGTCAAATAAGATGTCGAATCAATCACCACTGCATTTGCCAAATCGGTGACTGAAAAAGAATAGTTGCTGTCCCACGTGGAAAAACAGTTGCCTCCTCACATGTACCACATGCAACCAGTAAACAAAAACATACAGTTAAAATTGACTCTAAGTAGTCTCCTTATTCCAAATGCATCTGTATTCTTTACCTTTGGTTGCTTCTTAACCTTTGGTTTACACAAGACTATGTAAGACACTTCTCTTTAGGTATTAGATCACAGACTCAATTCTAATCATTTGAAAAGCAAATACAGTAAAGCTCATTTTGTTCCTCTTACATGAGAAAAGGTATTTCTAACATAACTTCTAGCTGGAAGGGTGTGTGTGTCCACCTCGAATTTAGGAGAGTTGAGGTGATTTCCTCAAGGGCAGAGATCAGACTGCAGATGTATGACAAGGACTGAGGCCGGCCAGCAAAGCCCACAGAGCCCAAGATCAGGGAAATGAGCAGCCAAATGGTAATTACGAAGAGACAAATGGCAGACATGCCGGAAACTAGAAGGTAAAGACACATAACAGGGGATAATAAAGTAGATAAACTGTACACAGAAATCTCAGATATTCAATAGGAAGAATACAGCTGTTCAAAGGCAACCTTAAGAACAAGGCAAATGATCAAAGGAAAGTCATTAGAAATAGAAAGAGGTTAACAGCAAAACAGAACATGCCAGCATCTGTATCATTTAATCAGCGAAGTAGCTTTCCACCCTTGAAAAGAAAGTGATGCTTCTTCATATGTGAATACATATCACCCCAATTTCCTCTAGTACACAATTAACTGTTATCACTATACTCAGCACAAATATGAGAAAACTAAACACTACACATCTTTAACATTTGGTTTCTTACCATTTTTGGACAAACAAGTTTAAGCACAAAATTCAAAATACACCAACAGGTGTGATGCCTGAGCGTCACCAGCCACACGCCTGCCCAATGTTCACAGGCTGCCAGGGCAGATGTTTT